AAAATGTGGAGGAGGAGGAGGAGAAGAAAAATGTGGAGGAGGAGGAGAAGAAAAATGAGGAGGAGGAGGAAAAGAAAAATGTGGAGGAGGAAGAAAAGAAAAATGTGGAGGAGGAGAAGAAAAATGTGATGGAGGAGAAGAAAAATGTGGAGGAGGACAAAGAGGACGGTGGGGTTGAGGATAAAAGAGCAGAAACTCCTGAACCTACAAACAAAGAACAAGCAGAACCAGAATTGGGTCGACTAGTGATGACCATTGGTAACCAACAAAAGATGCTTTCCTTCGCTGCCAAAGATCTGCTAACAACAGCCACCATGTTGGTTGGAGACAAGGTAAGGACCAAGCTTATTTGATTCATGTTGGATCTGTGGTTTGGTCCGTAAATCTGAGCCCAACTCTCGTTTTATAGGTGCGTTTCAGCATTGCCACCCACCAGGAGACCGAAGAAGAGCGAGCAGTTTTCATCGAAATTCTTCCTGACACTTTTGTAGAGTCTAACGAACAACGCCAACATGTAAGGTTCTGATGAACCAATAAAACACGTCGGAAACTAAAAAGTTTGACTTGGATCTAACCCGGGTTTAAAACCGAACCTGCTTGTCTGTCTTTCTGCTGTAAGGGCATTGTGATCGAGTTCTCAGAGGACTCTGGACTCATCAAGTGCTCCCAGAACCCTCAGCTCTACTTTGACATGTCGGAGGTGATGGAGAAGAAGAAACTGGAGCTCAACGAGAAGGTCGAGTTTAGCATCGTCTCGGTTGGTTAAGCTTGTCGTAGAGTTGTTTCAGGAGAATAAACGCAAAGCAAGAACAGATTTATAACATTTAATTTTTACATTTATCGTTTTCAAAGTGTGAAACTGCTGAGATGGGGATCCAGGCTATTAGGATAAAACGTTTTACTGAAAAAGTTTTTCTCCCTGTCCGGAAACTCGGTGGTGTTGGAGCTAACAAAGCAAAGGTAAGCAAATTGGTTTTCATGGTTGGACTGATCCCCAGACACTAAGGCATTCCCAGACCATTAAGAGTAACATGGAATATATTCACAGAGATGCTGAGATCTGTGTGAAAACGAAGAACACAGTGGTCATTGTTGTTGTAACTTTGTGTTTCTTTGGTAGATGACCATCAAACTAACTAAACCATCTGAAGACGATGAGTGAGTAAATCTCATGTCTTTGTTTGCCTGACATGAAAACAGTTCAAATGTTTAAATGTTTAGCTGTGAAACTGGCTGAATTTTCCTCTTCTAACATCAGACATATTTCACGATTTATGCTAATTAAAACAACTTTCTTTACTTTTCAGAAAGGAGAAACCAGAGGCCGACAAACTAAAGGCAGTGGTGAAAAACCTGAGGAAGGATTACAGCATGACTCGATATAAATCTGCACGGAGCAGGAGCAGGAGCCGGAGTCGAAGCAAGAGTAGAAGTAGGAGTCCATGTAGAGACAAGTTTGGACGTGTTATCAAAAAGAGACGCAGCCCCAGTGTTGACCGCAACCCCAGGAACAGCAGGCACAGACAGAGCCAGGAGAGGTCACGCCGGCGCACCAGGAGCCACACCAAGAGTTCCAGCAGAAGTCGAAGTCGGAGCTACAGCAGGAGCCCCAAAAGGAGCCCCAGAAGGAGCCCCAAAAGGAGTCCCAAAAGGAGCCCCAGAAGGAGCCCCAGAAGGAGTCCCAGAAGGAGGAGCAGGGAAACCAGCAAAGACAGATACATCAGGAAGAGGAGCAAAACCAGCAGGGAGCCTGAGGACAAGAGGAGGAGGGAATTGTGCTCACCACACCGACATGGTGGAGTCATGGACAATGAGTTGGCCAGGAAGAAGAGAGAGCTGGAGGAGCTCAATGAGATGATTGCTTATAAAAAGTCACTGGTGGACGTGGAGCCTGGACAGAGGACCTGCATAGACTATGACCACGGCAGGATTGCCGTGCCACTTGCCGAGTACACACCAGTCCGGTCCATCTTGAAGAAGAGACCAGAGGAACCCGAGCACTTATGGCCCCCTTATGATGATCCATATTACAGCCGATCGTATGAACCTTACCACAGTCGGCGGTATGGAGAGCCGTATGATGACCCATATTCTAGTCATCCATACCGTGAACCATCTTATGATGACCGCATGTACGAGGACCGCCCTTATGATAGGAGTCGTTATGGTGAACCTCCGTATGGTGGACTGCCTTCAACCAGTCATCACTACACCGATCGCTACGATGTCTACGACCAACCTTACGATGACAGGCACTATGACCCGACTCATAGAAGCCGTCCCTATGATCTGCATCCTCCAGTCAAACAAAGTCAGTCTCCAGAACCTGAGTCTAGACAAGTTCCTGGTTCTTCTGCCAAATCTGCCTACAGACCTCCTTCCCCAATAGATTCACCTCCTAGAACCCCTTCTCCTCAAGAAAAGGCAGCATCTCAGTCTCCTCTAGGAGAGAAACCACCTCTGGACCGCTTCCTTGACATGCTTGGCAAAAAAGTACCGGTAGATGCTGAAAAGAAATCTGAACCAGACTGTGTTACTGATGACCTCCTGCCTCACGAACGTGCCCTTCAGGACGGCAAAGGCTTCTCTCGAATTGTAGGATTGGCTCCAGAGCCCCCAAGCATCAGTCTAACCCTAGAAAGTGAGAAGAAACAACCAAGCTCTAATCAAGCCTCAGTTGAGAAAACAAGTGAGGAACCAAAGCCAGAACCCTACGATAAGATTCAGAGTCTTCTGCGTTCAATTGGTTTGAAGCTGAGTTCAGGAGATGTTTCCAAACTGGCCAGCCGGGCTCAGGAGAAAGTCTTCAGTGTTGGGACTTCGTCTACTGAAAAAGAGACATCTTCTGAAAGAGAAGAGCTAAGGGGCAGCAGAACTGGTTCTGTGGAACTGGATCATATCCATTCACTGTCCCCTGGCAGATCTTTCAGTTTTAGCAGAACAAAAACTGCTGTTTCAAAGTATGACGAATTACTAGAGCAGAAAAACTTGGAAGCACTAAAGACAACACAACAGAGTCTTACCAAGACAATGGGGAGCACATCAACCACCACCACCCCTGGTCCAAAACCACCTCCTGGGCCTCCACCTGCTCATTATCAACATCCAAGCCCCCCACTGAACTGGCCTCTTGGCATCAACTCCCAGTTTCCCCCAACTCAATCCCCTATATCCAAAAGCATTGATATTTCTGCTCCTCCTGCAACTACTCCACAACAAAGAATTGGTCCCCCTCCAGGACCTCCCCCTGGACCACCTCCACGACGTCTTGCACAGCAACCGCCAAGACCACCTCCTGGACCTCCACCCCAGCGTTCCCCTGGACATCCTCCTTTTGCTTCACCCCCACTTCAGTCAACTCTTTCCTTTATTAGGATGCCTAATTCAGCTCCACCATCCAGCACAGCTAGTTCCACAGAACCTCCACCCACTACAACATTAACACCACCCTTAGCACCTACAATTTTAAGTCCTGCAAGTTCGGACCAGTCAGCCATCTCTACCACTGTGGCACGCTGCCTAAAGGTGATAGAGACGGTGAAGTCTCTTGGTGTGCCACCATCGACCAAGCCAAGTAAATCAGTCCAGTTCAGTTTACCGACAGAGTCCACCTCATCAAACATTTGGCCAAACTCAGCAGAGACAGATGAGGACGTAAAGACCAGGCAGAAGGAAAAAGTGAGTAAATACAGATTTCACTTTGTTAGGCTTCAAAGATCACTCCTGCTGGAAACAAGCTTCTTTTATTTAATCTAAAAAAGTTAAATCTGGTCCTCTGGACATTCAAAAAAACAAAACAAAGCAAATCAACAAAAAAA